GGGCGCAAAACACATGGTCACGCCCCCTCCGGCTCCTCCCACCAGCCCAGCCCCGCCCCCCCCCCCCCCCCCCACCCCCCACACCCCACCCCCCCTGGCTCCCCCTACCCCCCAGCCCCGCCCCCACACCCTCCAGCTCCTCCCACCTGCCCAGCCCCGCCCTCTCTCACCTTGACCAGCCCTTTGCTGAAGAGCATCTCCACGACCTCCTTGAGGATGGGCAGGATCCCGCTGTGGTGCACTCCGATGCCCCGCTTCAGCAGCTCCACCATGTGCAGCACCTGAAACCGCCCCCTCCCCCCCGGGGGACACATTAAATCCGTGCGCACGCTGGAGACCCTGCTTCCTGCCTCGCCCCAGGACACTTCCTGTCCGGCGCCCTTCGACCCAGAAGCACCCGAGGGAGCCCTGAAGTCACGCCAACCCCTCGGGAACCCAAGATGCCCATTTCCTGTGTCACCCAACGCAACTTCCTGTGCAGCACCCTTTGACCTGGAAGTGCCTGACCAACTCACGCCAACCCCAACTTCCTGCCTCTCCCCCCATCACTGTCTGTGAGGTGCCCTTTGACCCGGAAGCAGGCTCAAGCCAAACCCTTCCTCCAGGGACCCACTTCCTGGGTGGCCAACTACAACTTCCAGGTCAAAGGGCACAGCACAGGAAGTGCTTGCCTCACTCCGCCAACCCCTTGGGACTCAACTTCTGGTAGTATCCTGCTGAGTGCCCTTTGACCTGGCTGGGGCCTCCCAGCACATGCACTCACACCAACCCTGTTCTCCCCAGGGGCGGGACTTCCTGTCTGGCACCCTCTGACCCCTCCCTCAACAGCGAGGGCCAATGGGCCAGACAAAACCACACACTAAGGGACCCAGCTGATGTCACTTCCTGTTGAGTGCCCTTTGACCTGGAAGCACTAGGCAGAGAGACATTTCTCCCCACCCCCTTTCACCCAGTGGGGCGCAACTTCCTGTTTCCTTTCTCCCAAAAGCGTCCCATAGGGCAGCACCTGGCAGGTCCTTCAACACCACCTTGCTGACCTCCAGCAACCCTAGCCCCTGTGGGGTGGGACTTCCTGTCTGTGCCCTTTAACCCCCACTGTCACAGAGGAACCTGGCCAACACCCTGGGCCCTGGAGCTGCCTTGTCCAGGGGGCGGTGTCCGCTTCCTGCTCTCCAGGCTCGCTTTAAGGGGCGTGCTCTTCCTGTCCCATCCCTGGAGAGCCCAGCCTGTGCCAATGCCCAAGATGGCCACCCACGGCCTTTGACCTCTGTAGGGTAGCACCTCCAGCTATATTAAGGCCCCTACTTCCTGTCCCATCCATGAGGAGCCAGGCCAATGCCAGCCCCACTTCCTGTCCCATGCATGAGAAGCCGAGCCAATGCCAGCTCCACTTCCTGTCCCATGCATGAGGAGCCGAGCCAATGCCAGCTCCACTTCCTGTCCCAAACACCACTTCCTGTCCCATCCATGAGGAGCCGGGCCAATGCCAGCCCCACTTCCTGTCCCATGCACGAGGAGCCGAGCCAATGCCAGCTCCACTTCCTGTCCCAAACACCACTTCCTTTCCCATCCATGAGGAGCCAAGCCAATGCCAGCTCCACTTCCTGTCCCATCCATGAGGGGCCGGGCCAGTGCCAGCCCCACTTCCTGTCCCGTTCCGGCTCTGACCTGGGGCAGCTGGCGGTCGGAGCCCTTGAGGCGGGACAGGCACTTCTGGAAGAAGAGGTGGATCTGGCTCTTCTCGGCGCTCGTGGTCAGGTCGAGGGTGGTGAGCGCGGACGCGTTGTCGTCGCAGCGGGCGCGGGAGAAGGTGAAGGCCACCACGGGCAGCTGGTCCCGCTTCCGCAGCGCGTCCATCAGCGAGAGCCACACGCCCTTCTCCTGGGGAGGGGAGGGGCGGGGGGGGGTCACGCCAGGGCCCTGAGCTCCCCTGCGTCTCCCCCCTGCCCCCCCATATTCCCCCTGAATTGCCCCCCCAACAGCAGCACCCCCCCATGCCTGCCCCAGTCCCCAGGACACCCCCGTACCCACCTCCCATCACACCCCACTGTCGCCCCGGAGCCTGTCACATCACAGTGACAGCCTCCTCCCCCCCCCCCCCCCCCGCTGCCGTGACCCCCGGTGCTGACCTGGCCCGGCCCGGTGCCCGTGTGCGTGGGCTGCTTGGCCCCGAAGGTCTGGGCGTGTTTGCTGGAGCGCTCCTTCTTCGCCTCCACCGCCGCGTAGTACCTGGGGGGACAGTGGGCGAGGGTAGGATTACCATACGTCCGGATTTTCCCGGACATGTCCTGCTTTTTGGGCCTCAAATCCCCGTCTGGGAGGAAATCCCAAAAAGCCGGACATGTTCGGGAAAATAGGGAGGGAGGGGCCGGCGGGGAGGGGCCGGTGGTGCTCGGCCGGGGGCCGGGGCTGCTCGGCCGAGGGCCGGCACCCCAGGGCCCAAGCCGAACCGGGCAGGAGACGCCGGGGCCAGAGCCTCTTGGGCTGGGCCGGCTGGCCGCCGGAGGGAGCTGCTTGGCCGGGAGAGCCGGACTGGGCCGCCCCCCGCCCCGCCCCAGACCCAGCTTACCTGCTGCCTCCCTGTTTCAGGCTTCCCACGAACATTTGATCCACGGGAAGCAGGGGAGGGGGAGGAGCAGGGGGCGGAGCGTTCAGGGGAGGGGGCAGAGTTGGGGCGGGGCTGGGGGCAGGGAAGGGGCGGAGTTGGGGCGGGTCCGGGGCCCCGTGGAGTGTCCTTTTTTTAAATTAAAATATGGCAACCCTAGGTGAGAGGAGACGCCCGGCCCGGCGCTGGGGGTTCGTAGGGAGCCCGGGGGGGAGGGGGGGCAGTGGGTGAGGGAGACACCCGGCCCGGCGCTAGGGGTGCATGGGGCAGTGGGTGAGGGAGACACCCGGCCCGGCGCTGGGGGTGCATGGGGCAGTGGGTGAGGGAGACGCCTGGCCCGGCGCTGGGGGTGCATGGGGCAGTGGGTGAGGGAGACCCCCGGCCCGGCGCTGGGGGTGCAGGGGGCAGTGGGTGAGGGAGACCCCCGGCCCGGCGCTGGGGGGGTGTGGGGGGCTCACCCCTTGGTGAGGAAGGTGCCGCGGGCGTCAAGGAGCAGGAAGAGTTCGTGCTGGGTTTTGTGGCTGTTGCCCGTGTAGAGATGGTGCTCGAGGGGCACCGGGCGCCGCAGGGTGCTGATCACGTAGATCCGCTTCCGCTTGATCCGCCTGTGGGGCGGCGGGGGGTGTCAGCACCTGCCTGCCCCCAGCCTCCCAACCCCAATACACCCCCCTTCCCCACAACCCCCATATCCCCACGCCCCCAGATCCTCCCAGCCCCCCCACAATACAGCCCCCCCTTCCCTGCCTACCCCCCGCAGATCCTCCCCAACCCCCGCAGCCCGCACCCTCTTGTCCCCACCACTCTCACCCCCGGGTCCCGCCTCACCCGATCCAGTCGGCGAACTCCAGCGTGTTGGGGACGGTGGCGCTCAGCAGGATGATGTTCACGTGCTCCGGCAGCATGATCAGCACCTCCTCCCACACCACGCCGCGCTGGGGGGGCATGGGGGGAGGGGTCAGTGTACAGCCTGCCCCCCCCCACACACACCACACTGGGGGGGTCTGCTGAAGCCAGACCCAGAGACCCCGCCCTGATCCCCACCCAAGCCCCAAGATTGCCCCCATACTCCCCTCCCCGGCCTGACCGCCACCTGCTGCTGGCAGAGCTGCAGGGTCTCCATGTGGGGATGAGAGGACGGTGTAGGGAGGAGGGATTTAGCTGCATTAGGAACTGGGGAAACTTTTGGGAAAGGAGGAGCCTGTACAGGAAGGATGGACTCCACCGAAACCAGACTGGAACCAGATTGCTGGCACTTAACATTAAAAGGTCGTAGAGCAGTTTTTAAACCATGGGCTGGGGGAAAATGCGAGAGGTGCGGAGGAGCACGTGGTTCGGACCGAGCCATCCCTTAGAGGAGGATCTGTTCATGGAGATTCTCTATGTTCTAGTGAGGAGGAGAGGATGGAAGATGATAAAATACAGGTAGGATCTGATGAGAAACAGTCAAATGAAGAGAGTCCCATTCAATTACATCACGTAATGGCAGACAGCTAAAAAGTGACAAGTTTTTAAAGTGCTTATATACCCATGCTAGAAGTCTAAATACCAAGCTGGGTGAACTAGAGTGCCTCGTATTAAATGAGGAGATTGATATAATGAGCATCACAGAAACTTGGTGGAATGAGGATAATCAATGGGACACAGTAATTCCAGGGTACAAAATCTATCGGAAGGACAGAACAGGTCACGCTGTTGGAGTGGCACTAGATGTGAAAGAAAGCGTAGAATCAAATCCAGTAAAAAATCTTAAATGACCCAAACTGTCCCACAGAATCTCTCTGGATTGTAACTCCATGCCGGATAATATGAATATAGCGGTAGGGATCTATTACGGACCACCTGACCAGCGTGGCGATAGTGACTGTGAAATGCGCAGGGAGATTAGAGAGGCTACAAAAATAAAAAACTCAATAATAATGGGGGATTTCGACTCTCCCCATATTGATGGGCTCCATGTCCCCTCAGGACGGGAGGCAGAGATACAGTTTCTTGACATCTTAAATGACTGCTTCTTGGAGCAGCTAGTCCTGGAACCCACCCAAGGAGAGGCAAGTCTTGAGTTCATCCTAAGTGGAGCGCAGGATCTGGTCCGAGAGGTGAATATAGCTGGAGCTCTTGGTAATAGCGACCGTAATAGAATTCAATTTAACATCCCTGCGGCGGGGAAAACACCCCAGCGGCCCAGCACGGCAGCATTTCATTTCCGAAAGCGGAACTGCGCAAAACTGAGGCGGTTGGTTGAACAGACAGCGCCCAAACTGCAATCCCTGCACGGAAACTTTTGAAAGACACGAGATGTGACGCAGTGGGTTTATTCATCTCATTATGTTGCATGCGAGTCTTCCTGTCCTATGTGAATACAGTGTGTGCCTCAGTTTCCCTGTGTACTGCACCAATACTGGGTGGGAATTGGGGGTGTGAGTTTTGCCGAGGCCGAGGTACAGCTGTCTGTACCTGTGTAACCCGAGAGCCAGGAGGGGTGTGTGACCAGGTGACACCTTTTGCCCAGAAGCAAGACAGAGAAGGAGCAGGAGCAAAGGGGGGTGTCGGAGGTGGGGTGGCTGGAAGCTGTCTGTCTGCGTGGGGGCGACTGGAAGAGGGGGAGTCCAGGGCGTCTGGGCCAGGACTCCCCAAGACGGACTTGGCTGAAAGTCACTGATTTCTGTGCTAACAAGCTCTGCCCTACGCTGTGATCCTGTCGACTAATAGTACCGGGAAAACTGGTTGGAAAATTTGCAAAAAATATGCAAAATTTGCAGATGACACAAAATTACTCAAGATAGTTCAGTCCCAGGCAGACTGCGAAGAGCTACAAAAGGGTCTCTCAAAACTGGGTGACTGCGCAACAAACTGGAAGATGAAATTCAATCTTGATAAGTCAAAGTAATGCACATTGGAAAACACAATCCCAGCTATACATATAACGATGGGGTCTGAATTAGCTGTTACCCCTCAAGAGAGATTTGGAGTCACTGTGGAGAGTTCTCTGAAAACATCCACTCAATGTGCAGCGGTGTCAAAAAAGCAAACAGAATGTTGGGAATCATTAAGAAAGGGATAGATAATGGGACAGAAATATCCTATTGCCTCTATATAAATCCATGGTACGCCCACACCTTGAATACTGCGTGCAGATGTGGTAGTCCCATCTCAAAAAAGATTGGAATTGGAAAAGGTTCAGAAACAAAAATGACTAGGGGGATGAGGAGAGATTAATAAGACTGGGACTTCTCAGCTTGGAAAAGAGACAACTAAGGGGGGATATGATAGAGGTCTATAAAATCATGACTGGTGTGGAGAAAGTAGATAAGGAAGTGTTATTTACTCCTTCTTATAACACAAGAACTAGGAATCACCCAATGAAATTAATGGGCAGCAGGTTTAAAACAAACAAAAGGAAGCATTTCTTCACACAACGCACAGTTAACCTGTGGAACTCCTTGACAGAGGATGTTGTGAAGGCCAAGACTAGAACAGGGGTCAAAAAAGAACTGGATAAGTTCATGGAGGATCGGTCCATCAATGGCCGTTATCCAGGCTGGGCGGGGATGGTGTCCCTAGCCTCTGTTTGCCAGAAGCTGGGAATGGGTGACGGGATGGATCACTTGATGATTCCCTGTCCTGTTCATTCCCTCTGGGGCCCCTGGCACTGGCAGACGGGACACTGGGCTAGAGGGACCGTCGGGCTGACCCAGTCTGGCCATTGTAATGTTGCCCATGATGCCCCCCCCCCCCCCCCCCCGACTCACCTCTGCATCGTTGATGTAATGAACCTCGTCAAAGATCACCCACTCCAGATCCCGGATCACGTCTGAGCCGTTATACAGCATGGACCTGAGCCAAACGGACAGACAGCTAGACCCACGGCCCCCTGGCCAGCCCCACAGCCCCTGCCCCTCACTCCCACCCCACGGCCCCCTGCCCAGCTTTGCGGCTGCCCCTCACTCCCAACCTGCAGCCCCGGAGCCCCTCACCGCAGGATCTCGGTGGTCATGATGAGGCAGGAGGCGTCGGGGTGCAGCTGGACATCCCCCGTCAGCAGCCCCACGTCCCCAAAGGTGTTCTTGAAATCTCGGAACTTCTGGTTGGACAGAGCCTTGATGGGGGAGGTGTAGATGGTCCTGGGGGGAGACGGGGCCGAAAGGGGTAAAGATGGGGCAGCCGGCTGGCACCGGGGGGAGGGAAATGGGGCACGGGGCCTGTCTCCTGGGGGAGCGCTGGCTGGATCCGGCTCGGCGGGGGGGGGGGGGGGGGGGGGGGGGGGGGGGGGGGGGTGTTCCTCACCTGGTCATGTGCTTCTGGGCCAGGGCGATGGCGTATTCGGCCACCACCGTCTTCCCCGCCGAGGTGTGTGCGGCCACGAAGACCGAGTCGTGCTTCTCCAGGTGCAGGATGGCCTGTTTCTGGAACACGTCTGGCTCGAACGGCCACTGGGAGCGCGGGGAAACTGAGTCAGCCGGGACAGCGCACCCTGCTGGGCCTCCTCTGCAGGACAGACTCAGCACCGACAGGCCAGGGACAGCGCCCCCTCCCCCCCCAGAACCCCCTAGCTCAGCACCGACAGGCCAGGGACAGCG